TTTGTTTTGTCTCCTTAGCTACTTTCCATTAAAAGCCCTTGGTTTTACAGAGCTCAAAAGCTCAAGCAGATATTTACACACACAAGTGATTGAATCATGTCATTCAGACAGCCAATTTGAAGCTTCAGTTAAAAAAGTAGGCTTCCAGGCAGTCAGTTGCTTCTATACTGTCACTTAAACTATCATGTGGTGCTTTGGGAATCATCTGTCATTTATTTAATGTTTATTTATAAAACAAAGAAGGTATATATATTAAACAGATATTGAACAGTTTACAAACTAAACAGGCATCCTAATAGTTTACCTTATACATACAAATAAACAGTATTAATTGATACAGAGATAGATACATAGTAATAAATACATATTAATATAAAAATATTATTTTCCATCAAGAGAACATATTTATAGCACTGTTGCTACCACAAACCCAGCGTCTAAAAGCTTATATAGGCTTTTATGTAGACTTTATTGTGTTGTTGTAAAAAAATCATTTTTAAATTGTCATTAAAATAACACGTATTGATCCTGACATGAAGGTATAGAGTGGTATCGCTCTGTCATTATTAGAACTCAAAAATAACTACATAGATGACACTGAGCTGCCAGCAATTAAATTTATGATACCAAATTATTATAACATAAGCTATAAACTGCAGTGCTAAAAAAGTGAATCACAATAAATCTAATTCGTATAAAGTGAATCCTAAATAAATGCATAATAGACATTAAATATACAACAACTGTCACATTTTTAGCGCTGCACTTCAGAGATTATCACTGTCATTGCCCCCCAAATGTACTTCTGTGTTGTCACCTTGTCACGTGGGCTTCTGATTAAAACAAGAGGTCTTTTCAACAGACATTACCCAGACATGGTCTATTGCTGTCACCTACAAGAAACCCATCCTGAGAAATTCAGGGCAGGGCTGGACACAGTTGTAACGTTCTGCAGGGCAGAAAGAGGGGAGACAGGTGTGATGTTCTGCAGGGAGAGGGGAGACAGGTGTGATGTTCTGCAGGGGGAGAGGGGAGACATGGTGTGATGTTCTGCAGGGCTGCAGACAGTGTGATGTTCTGCAGGGCTGCAGACAGGTGTGATGTTCTTCAGGGCTGCAGACAGGTGTAATTTCTGCAGGGCTGGAGACAGGTGTGAATTTTTGCAGGGCTGAAGACAGGTGTGATGTTCTTCAGGGCTGAAGACAGGTGTGATGTTCTGCAGGGCTGAAGACAGGTGTGATGTTCTTCAGGGCTGAAGACAGGTGTGATGTTCTGCAGGGCTGAAGACAGGTGTGATGTTCTGCAGTGCTGAAGACAGGTGTGATGTTCTGCAGGGCTGATGACAGGTGTGATGTTCTGTAGGGCTGAAGACAGGTGTGATATTCTGCAGGGGTGAAGGCAGGTGTGATGTTCTGCAAGGGTGAAGACAGGTAGGATGTGGCCTTTTAATTCTCAGTGAACTGCCATGGTGCTGTTGAGAACTCTGGTAGTTCATTGAAGCTTCCTGTCAGTGTCAAACTGCCTGCCCATACATTCCTAAAACAGAAATAGTAAATGCAAGTTTTTTACCTGCAAGAAAAATGTGCATTTATTATTTTTGGTTAAAAAGTGAAGTTATCATTTAACCCCCCCCCCCCAATGTTTGCACGTTTGCAGGGGGGCAGTGTTTACACAGAGGGGGCAATGTGTACCGGTGGGAGGTAGGAGGCAATGTGCGCAGAGGACTGGGGGGTGGGGAGATTTGTGCAGAGGAGAGCAGTGTGGACAGGGGGCAATGTTGGCAGAGGAAAAGGGGAGCAGTGTGCAAAGGGTGCGCAGTGTGTAGGAAAGGACAGTGTGTAGTGGAAAGGAGGACTGTGTGCATAGTTGGTGAATTTAATTTGGGCTAAATCTCAGGATACTTAATTGTTTGTACTCAAAATCTACGTTGTAGTAAGCCACACCCCAATATTCATTTTAATCCAACCATTCACAAGAGGACAGTGGGGTGGGGGGGGGGGGCAGCAAAATGCACCTTCTTCTGTGTAGACAAAAATCCTTGCACTGGCCCTGCCTCTAGCAACCTATCAGTGAACATTAGTGACCTGCTGTACCCTCTAACAACCAATCAGTGAGTGGTAAAGATGTGCTGTAACCTCTAGCAACCAATCAGTGAACAACAATGATCTGCTGTAATCTCTAGCAACCAATCAGCGAAAAATAATGTACTGTAACCTCTAGCAACCAATCGGTGAGCAGTAATGATGTGATGTAACCTCTAGCAACCAATCAGTAAGTGGTAATGATGTGCTTTAACCTCTAGCAACCAATCAGTGAACAGTAATGATGTGATGTAACCTCTAGCAACCAATCAGTGGGTGGTAATGATGTGATGTAACCTCTAGCAACCAATCAGTGAGTGATATTGATAAGCAGTAACCTCTAGCAACCAATGGGTGAGCAGTAATGATGTGCAGTAACGTCTAGCAACCAATCAGTGAGTGGTAAGGATATGCTACAATCTTCAGCAACCAGTCAGTGAGCCTGGACCAATCAGTGAGTGTGGACCAGTTCTTTATATTTACATCTTTAACATTTTTGAGACAAGTCTATGTGTGTGTATGTTTGTTTTTTGGGATGTTGCGGTGGAGAGAAAAATTGCAGGGGGGGGGCAAGAATATGTTTTTGTCCAGGGTCCAATCAATATTAAAGACGGCCCTGCATAAGGCAATGCAGGTTTGGACAGCTTTTTTAACTTAATAAATGAAATCATCATTTAAAAACTGTGTTTTGTATTTACTTGGGTTATCTTTGTGTAATATTAAAATTTGTTCGATGATCTGAATCATTTAAGTGTGACAAATATGTAAAAAAATAAAAAATCAGGAAGGGGGAAAAATCTTTTTCACAGCCAGGGGCGGACCTACAACTCATGGTGCCCCCGGGCAATAGCGGATCATGGGACCCCTATGTCTTTGCCCAAACTCAAAAAAGCCTATGAAAAAGGTACTAGGGGCATCTCATGGGGCCCCCTACTGACCCCTGGCCCTTGGGCAGTGCCCAAGTTTCCAAATGGTCAGTCCATTCCTGTTCACAGCACTGTAGATAGAAAGTGGCTTAGAGGAGTCTACAGGAGATCAACAAAATTGAGCTGTAACAGAGAATGAAAAGGAAACAAAAACAAGTATTTTAAATGACAATTAATTATGATACCCGGTGCTTTAACAGGTAGGGTTTACATCTACTTTAATTACTTAGAAATCATTTATTAGCAATGCATTTATAAGTTTTATTTAACAATTTCACTCTCAAATAAACACAATCAAACAGTTACGACCAAATGCAAATTAATAAATTAAACTCACAAGAACTTTCTAAATCTGCTGTGTGAATTGACTGTGCACAGGCTTTTATGGGTCTTAGTAATTCCTAACACATGTGTCTAAACCAAGATCATTAAAGTAGTTATAGTTTCCTGATTCTCACGGGAGAAGAGGTTAATGGAAGATTTCCCTGAAAATGTTAAGACTCCTAGTGGGTATATACTGTAATATACATTTTCTACAAATGAGCCGATTTTACTTACTATGAAATGGAGTGTATTTATGCCCAAATTCATTTTATTTTAGTTTTAGCTATGAACGGAGAAAAGGCTAGAACCTTGTCAGATTTAAGCCTGGGTTTATATATATGCGGTGCGGTATATCGCGTGTGATTCGCACGGGAACCGCACCTCATTCCTGTACAAATCACATGCGAGTTGTGTGCGGTGGAATTGGAGCCATGCATTTTGTATTGCTCTAATCGCACCCAAATGTGCAGGACCTTTTTTTTGGTCCACACTAGAATCGGATCGCATGGGTATTGACACCTATGCAATCCGATTCTGCACATCACACCACGTTTTGCGGACCAATTTCGGGGTGTTGTTAACCATTTCAAGTCCGGACACTTTCACCCCCTTCCTGCCCAGGCCAATTTTCACACTTTGAATGACATTGCGCAGTCATGCAACACTGTACCCATATGAATTTTTTAGCATTTTTTGAGACAGATAAAACTTTATTTTGGTGGTATTTATTCACCACTGGGATTTTTTATTTTTTTGCTATATAAATGAAAAAGTCCAAAAATGTAGAAAAAATTGTTTTTCTTATAAAATTTTGCAAATAAATAATCTTTCTTCATAAATCTTGGCCAAAATGTATTCAGCTATCTTTTTAGTAAAAAAAAACATAATCCACATTAGTTTATAACCGAAAATTATAACTAAAAAAAAAATGTTTTACATTTTTATTGTATTTTTTTATATTATTATTTATGTTTTTTTTTTGTTTAACATACTGTCACCCTAGCAGTACAGTGTCACCATAGTTACACTGTACTACTTGTGGGGGGTGATGAAGGTTTTTTTTTTCTTTTTGTACACTGATTGCTTTTATACCCATGAAGGCTGTAAAAGCAATAATTTCTATTTCTCTCTGGCTGCATTCTTGCAGCCATTGAGAAATACTGTGAGAGCTGTTATTGGTCACAGCTTGTCACATGGTACAAGGCTGTTGTGAATATCCTTGTACCATGTGACCTCTGTGATCATCCATAGATTTCACAAGCAGTAAGCAATGATGTCAGGAAGTGACATCTTGTTTACTACTGCTCATGTGATCACTGATTGGCCAATCAGTGATCACATGAATCTATCAGTGTCCGGACACAGCAGGCAACGGACAGGCAGTGAATGTGGGTGATGTTTAGAAACGTCAACCTGCTTCGGCAGTGCTCCCGTCCGGTCGTTTGTAGACAGGAATCAGAAGGGAAGTGGTTAACATACACACCCGCAGCAGTTCGCATGAATGGGGTGCGTTTCTGATGCGGAATTCGCACTGAAAACGCTATGAATTCTGCACCGCAGCAGTGTGAACCAGGGCTTACTGCTATCAGGGACTCCATAACAGATTAGCAGCATAGAGATTTCCTCCCACTTTTTGATCTGGGGACAACCTTTAACCACTTCCCATCTGGCCCGGACCTGGAGCAGTGCAGGAGCGGGTGGCCGTTTGTAAACTTTCCCTGCCTGTGCATGCTCCCTGGAAGTGCACGGCACCACAATCTAGTGTCCATTGCTGTACGGGACCTCTGTGTGTGGTCCCGATCATGTGATCACTGATTGGCCAATCAGTGATCACATGAATAGTAGTAAGCAAGATGTCACTTCTGACATCATTGCTTACTACTAGTGAAATCTGTGAATGATCACAACAGCCTTGTACCATGTGACAAGCTGTGACCAATCACATCTCTCACAGTATTTCTCAATGGCTGCAAGAATGCACCACAAACATTCACAGAGCAGCTCATTCAAGTGAATGGGCTGCCCATGCAGAAGTGCATATAAATTGCACAAAAAAATCCCAAGCAGGAATGCATGTTCCTGCTATGCAAAGTGTGAACGGGGCTTCAAACACCAGATTAGCAGAGGTAGGGGCAGTGCAATACCTACCAGGCAAAAGCAGGAGTGAGGCCATGACAGTGGGGCATTCTACTTTCTAAGTGAATATGGATGTATTGGAATGTTGGGAGTTGGGATGAAAGCCCAACTCCAGGCAAGTAAAAGGAACAACTCTTGCAATGCAACTGAGTCCACACTGCAAGGGTCAATTGCCTGTTTTTGTCTAGGGGGAACAAAAAAGATTTACTTACCCAATCCTGTGATCTTCCCCACTCCTCTCTCGCTGCATTGGTCAAGGGTCCTGACAATTCAGGGTCCATAGCCCTGCTCTGAACATGAGGACACCAAGGGATCACGTGGGAGCTCTGCCTGCTGGGGGAGTGGAGGATCAGGTAAGTAAAACTGTTTCTCCTCTCTCATGGACAAGAAAAAAGCAATTAACCCTTGCTGATCTGGCACATCCCCACTGCAAGGAATAATCTCTAATCTCTAATTTCCAGGAGTTGGGCTATAAATCAGTTTCATTTTTGCTGTTTTTTGTTTGTATATACATTAATTTTTTGTTTTATATCTGTTGTTATTATATGCTTTTTCTGTGTTTTGCATTAAAAGGATTCCCAAAGCACTACTGGACAGCACAGCAAATGAAATTTGCTTTGCAGATCCCTTTGTCTAGTTAACCCTCCTACTGAGCCTTCCAAAAAAGGGATGAGTCACTGCTAGAGATGAGCGAATCGAACATGACGAAGTGGAATTCGTTCCGAAGATTTGGAAAAATTCTATTCGCGACGAATCCGAAGATTAGCAAACTTCGGATGCACGAATCAAATTTTCCCAAAAATGGCGGCGACATGTGTGGCGACGGAGAAAATGGACAGAGAAGATGGGGCGGGGATCTCTGGGAAGGCGCGCAGACAAGGCGCGCTGACCCATAATGCATTCATGACATGTAATCACATTAGCCAATCAGCAGCCAGCCAGCACTGTGTAATGGTGGAGCTATAAATCGCGGCCATCTTAGAATTCTCCATTAGCCTCCGGTCATTCAAGAGAGACAGACCTGTGTGTATTAAGGGACAGAGTTAGGGCCACAGAGACTTTAGGGCCACAGAATCGTTACTCAGGGACACAGAATCGTTACTCAGGGACACAGAATCGTTACTTAGGGCCACAACTATCAAAGAATCGAAAATTTAAAGTGACATACACCCTTTTTTTTTTGGTGGCTGTCGTGCACAGTTGGTGCTGCAGTTTGCCGATTGTGCAAAATAAACTGACTTTCTGCTTCACAACCACTATTGTACGTTCAAAGAGTTAAATCCATTTACACGCCGGCTGGCGGTAATATTTTTTGGGTGATTAGTGCATTCCAGTGACACAAACGTACAGTTTCCAGCCAACGGCAAGCTGCAATTGACCGATTGTGTACAATAAACTGACTTTCTGCTTCACAGCCACTATTGTACGTTCAAAGAGTTAGATCCATTTACACGCCGGGTGGCGGTAATATTTTTTGGGTGATTAGTGCATTCCAGTGACATAAACGTACAGTTTCCAGCCAACGGCAAGCTGCAATTGACCGATTGTGCTAAATAAACTGACTTTCTGCTTCACAACCACTATTTTTTTAAATCCATTTACACGCCGGTGATTTTTTGGGTGAGTGCATTCCAGTGACATAAACGTACAGTTTCCAGCCAACGGCAAGCTGCAATTGACCGATTGTGCTAAATAAACTGACTTTCTGCTTCACAACCACTATTGTACGTTCAAAGAGTTAAATCCATTTACACGCCGGGTGGCGGTAATATTTTTTGGGTGATTAGTGCATTCCACTGCTCACGCTGCTGACGGCTTCCGCTTTTTAACCGAGGCCTGTGTTTGGCTTCCAAATACTGCTGCATCCACCGCCACCCTGCGCCATGTGTCTCTGTCGTCTGCTCACGCTGCTGACGGCTTCCGCTTTTTAACCTAGGCCTTTGTATGGCTTCAGAATAATGCTGCCTACACCGCCACCCTGCGCCATGTGCCTCTGTCGTCTGCTCACGCTGCTGCCAGGTCCATACTGATTCATGGCCCCCTGTACCGGCTCCTCATGAACGTGGTTCAGCGGGTTTGCATCACTTAATGGCAAATCGTTGACAAACGCTGGGACGTTCAGTGTTGTGCGCATTAAGCCAGACACCAAAGGGCAGCACAGACCTGTTATTACTCGCTCAAGCATGGCTGAACAAAACCAGTCTCTACCACAAATTGGACCCAGACCTGCCCAGGGTCTCGTAAGTAGATTGCACGGAGGAGTAGAGTCCGTTATTGGAATTAACTGTGAGGGACTTTTAAACCTAGGCCTGTGTATGGCCTTCAATTGAAGCTGCTTCTGCTCCGCCACTCTGCCATTGGACTCTTGATAGTCGTCTCCCCACGCTGCTGCTGGGGGGACTTTTTAACATAGGCCTCTGTATGGCCTTCAATTTTAGCTGCTTACGCTCCGCCACTCTGCCATGGGCCCCTGTACCGCCTCCTCATGCTGCTGCCAGGCCCGTAATCTGCCATGGGCCCCCGTACCGACTCCTCATGCTGCTGCCAGGCCCATAATCTGTCATGGGCCCCTGTACCGCCTCCTCATGCTGCTGCCAGGTCCAGAGTGTGTCATGGGTCCCTGTACGGCCTCCCATTGCTGCTGTCTCCATCGCCACACTCTGCCATGTGCCACTTTCAGGTCTCCTCACACTGCTGGTGGGTTCCATTTTGTCATAGGGTGCTGTATGGCCTCCCATTGCTGCTGCCTCCACCGCCACACTGTGGCTCCACACTCTGGTTTTGGCCCCGTGACTGCCCAAATGAGTGAAGTGTGCGGTGATTCTAAGATCGACGGCACTCATCTGCATGTCATACTGACTGACAGTATTATTTCTCTTCCCCAGCAGACTCCAAGGGCATTTAAATTAAAGGTACAGTGTTCTGCACTAATATAAAGGCTCTCTGAAGCCTAGAAACACCCTTTTTATAAGTTAAATTCGCAGCGAATATATTCGGCTCGAAGCGAATTTATTCGGCGAATTCGGCGAATCAGCCGAACCGAATTTTTGAATAATTCGCTCATCTCTAGTCACTGCTGTAAAAACTCCTTCAAGCTCCATAAATGACCAAACTATTTTAGCTATTAAAGTGTTACTAAACCCACAACAGTAAAAGAAGCCTGTATATGCAGTAAAGCATGCTTGTTATGCTCACTGTGGAACCTAGGGGATTAATCCTCTGCATTGTGTAAAAAGGCTGTTTGATCCTTTCTTCTCTATTCCTCCCCTTTTTCAAGTAACCACCTCTCTTGATAAGACAGACTGAACCGTAGACATTTGCACATGCTCAGTTTGGTGTGTATTGCCAGAGAGGTTTTTTTTTTTTTCTTGGGAGAGTACATGTGATCAGCAAAGGGCAATCAGCACTGTTCAGACAGAGGTCAGGGGTTTTGCATCCTCCTAGAGCAGACAGAAAACTCCTCCTACAAGCTTTAGCTAGTGCTAGGCTGGACACTGATAGAAGTCACAAGACTGCTCTAACTGCTGATGAGAAAACGTATTTAGAAGTTTATATTTACTAAAATAATTGCATTTTCATGCTCTGTGTATTGTGGGGGACCAGATATAGGCAGTACAGGGTCCTGGGTTTAGTAACACTTTAACTTCTAAACGTTATAATACCTGAATATGTGAAGAGAGACTACAACACTGTCTACTGGCTGGATAGAAGACAGCATAATATTATTATGCAATATTTAAAGCTGAGCTCCAGGCAGATAATAAAGACACAAATCAATGCATATCTGTATACATTAATTAATCATTTAATTTGTTTAATGGAACCAGTGTGCATAATCGGATTTTACTTTGAATCAGCCTCTTGCAATCCCCTGTACAGCCGCACTCAGACTGGGAGAAGAATGAGTAGAAATGGAAGCCATTCAGGTGAGCTGCATGCAAATATGCTAACAAAGAAATGAGATGATAGGAGAAAAGTGCATAGCGAGCAGAGAGATGACCCCATCAGTCAGCAGCTGGACCTTAACTGTTTAACCAGCTGTATTGTTTTACAGTAGAAAGTGTCTTTTTTTTTCCATGAATAAAAATGCTGTTCTGAGCTCCATGGTGTGACCTACAAAAATGTTCTGGTTTTTTATTTATTATTTCCAATTTTCCAATCTGACAGACTGTGAAATAAGAGAAGACTTATGAAATAAGGAAAATATTGTTAGCACCAACTGTGTGAGGATAGCTCCATAGGAGACTGCACACACGAAAATGCTTAAAGTAGACATGAACTTTACTTTATTGCCAACTTACATTGGCCCAGCTTGGCACAATGTAATTATCCATATCTTATATCTGGAGGGCCACTGGGAATGCTGAAACCTGCTGTAGTACATACAGCAATACCCACAGTGTTCCAGGTCCTGCTCCAGCAGCTTCCTCTCTGCACACTGAGCACAGTAGACTACTTGCTTGGCACTGCCACCATTCAGAGTATGCCTTGTAAATTTTTCAATAAATACAAGATGTTTTCTGATTGGACGAGGTGGAGAGAAAGGGCAAATGAGGAAGCAATCTACCCTCATCCATTCTTAAAACACCTTTTGTTAATTGAAAAGTGATCCCCTATGTTCAGTGTGCAGAGGGAAAGCTGTCTGAACAAGACCCTGAAGGTTGCAGCTATCTCTGTATGTATTAGGGACTATTACAACAGTTTTCAGCATCCCCAGTGGCTCTCCAGATATAGGATATGGATAATTACATTGTACCAAGCTACACCAATGTAAGTTGGCAATAAAGATCATTCCTGGAGTTCTGCTTTAAACAGTGAAGATTTAATATCTTATAGTGAAGATTTTGAAATGTTCATTGTGTCTAAGTATTGAAGGTCTACCTTTTGTCTTGAATTCCTCTTGAAAACTACAGCTTGTACCTCATGGGTGAATCTGCAGTGTGAGATCTCAGACAATGCTGCTTTTGCTAGTCCTGCTGAATTTGGAGTGAGGTTTGGTGATGCCACTAATGTGCTGTTCACTGTTCTTCCATGCTGGAGAGGAAGGAGTAGCTGAGAACTTGCAGTACATAGATCTCCCTGCTTCTTCATCCATTCTGTGGATCTCTACTGTGGATCTCTGCTGTGGATCTCTGCTGTGGATCTCTGCTGTGGATCTCTGCTGTGGATCTCTACTATTACTACTACTCTATTGCCTCCTCTATTGCTGCTTATCATTATCCCACCAATCAGTCATGATTATCAGTCATCAAAGGACAGCTCTCCCAAGAGAAAGCAAAGCCCACACACAGAGCATGGTAAATCAGTAATGAGGGAAAGACCAGCTGCAGGGAGCCCGCAGGCTATGTTGGTAAATAGTCCTTCACTCTCTGCCTTCTTTGGACACATCTGTCACAGTACAGTAGATATAATTGTGCTAATAATAGAGATAATAACACAAATAGTGGAAAACCTTATTTTGTGTAGAAGTTTACTGTAGTATACTGTAGATTGCAAATTGTAATACTGATATTACCACAAACAATTTTTTTAAAAGTTCAGTACATTTTTTTTTTAAGAGGAATATACAACAATGTCCCTTTTAAAAGGACGAAATAATATGTCCAAAGTAACATGCTACCATTGCTTGATACAAATATCAGTAAATAAACATTGTAAAATTGTGAAAAGATATAAAATGGTTTAAAACGAGCTTTATAGGATGTACATCGGCAGTTGAGCTAGGACAATCGCTAGAAAACTAGGATTAGTGATCAGAAGTAACGGGACTAAGGTAAGTATATAATCAAATGCGAGGGAAGAAAAAAGAAAGGTTTAGGAAGTATAAAGACAGATAAGAGGGAGAGGAGGAGAGCACCTACTGTATATACCTTATATATATAGGTTTAGATAAGTCGTGTTAGTGATGAAAATAAGATTTTTACCACATCAGCCAATGTTGCTTCTGTCTTAAGTGAGCACTTCTATCTGTTGCTAGGAGCAGTTCATAGGTACAGTGATCTTGAACCCCTTTAATAACATCTGTTACAGTTGGGGCAAACAATTTTTTAAAAGGCCTTGCCTGTAAATGAATCTAAACATATAAAGTAGTAATTTGCTAAAGAATAATTTAGACCTTTGTGTATTTTCCCAAAAAGCCCAAGAGAGAAAAAGTAATGAGTTATGAGGCCCAAAACACTAGTTCCCCTACTTAACCCCTGTCAGTTTTTTTTTTTTTTACGTCCCACTGAGATTTCCTTTCACTTCCTGTCCCATAGCCAAAACAGAAAGTGAGAGGAAACATCTACAAATTAAGGGAATCTCTTGGGAAGGGAATATCAAACCACCCTAGGTCACCAGAACTAGTGTTCACATTGTATTATTTCCCCTCTATTACCACTTTGGGGACAACCCAAAATGTTTAATTTTCTTTTACTTTTAATTTTAATGATAATGGTAATCAGGACAAATAAAGAGTTTGACTCTCTCAAATAGGGGCCGAACAGTGGCTAAATGATTAGCACTTCCACCTGGCAGTACTAGGGTCATTGGTTCGAATCCCAACCATAGCACCAACTGCCTGGAGCTTGCATGGGTTTCCTCTAGGCACCCCGGCTTCCTCCCACACTCCAAAGACATGCTGGTAGGTTAAGTGGCTCCTGTCTAAATTGTCCCTGGTATGTGTATGTATGAATGTGAGCTAGGTAACTTAGATTGTATGCCCCTTGAGGGTTAGGGACTGATGTGAATGTACAATATATATGTAAAGCGCTGCATAAATTGACAGCGCTATACAAGTATCTGAAATAAATGATAGTGGCAGAGATAGCAATAGGTATTCAAATCCATGTCCACTTTGTCAAAAAAAAAAAGTTTGGTCTTTATTTATACATTTTTGACTCATTATAACAAAACAATAGGGTCCGTTTTTAACCACCTCCTGTCCAGCCGTTGTATATAAAACGGTTGGATGGTGGCAGTGCAGGGTCGGGTGACCGTTTATAAAGGCCTCCCCGCACCCTGCTTGTGCGTGCTCCCCAGACACAGTGGAGCACCAATCGTCAGACGGGACCTCTGTACGAGGTCCCGATCATGGGATCACTGATTGGGCAATCAGTGATCACATGAAGAGTAGTAAGCAAGATGTCACTTGTGACATCATTGCTTACTACGTGTGAAATCTGTGAATGATCACAGAGGTCACATGGTACAAGGCTATTCACAACAGCCTTGTACCATGTGACAAGCTGTGACCAATCACAGCTCACTCAGTAGTTCTCAATGGCTGCAAGAATGCAGCTAGAGAGAAGGAGAAATGATTGCTTTTACATTCTTTATGGGTGTAAAAGCAATCAGTGTAAAAAAAAAAAAAAAATCTTCATCACCCCCCACAAGTAGTACAGTGTCACCATGGTGACACTGTACTGCTAGGGTGACAGTATGTAAAAAAAAAAATAATAATAAATAATATAAATAAAATAAACAAAAATTTAAAAAAAAGTTTAAAATTTATAATTTTTAGTTATAAACTAATTTGGGTAATTTTTTATTACTAAAAGTATAACAGAATAAATTTTGGCCAAGATTTATGATGAAATACTATTTATTTGCAAAATTTTATAAGAAACACACTTTTTAAAAAATTTTTTGGACTTTTTAATTTACATAGCAAACAAAATAAAAATCCCAGTGGTGAATAAATACCACCAAAATAAAGCTTTATCTCTCTCAAAAAAATGCTAAAAAATGCATATGGGTACAGTGTTGCATGACCGCGCAATTGTCATTCAAAGTGTGATAGCACTGAAAGCTGAAAATTGGCCGGACAGGAAGGGGGAAAAGTGTCTGGACTGGAAGTGGTTAAACAATCCCTCAGCATTCACACAATTACCACAAATAATACATGTAATGTGTAATATGTTTATTTCCTATGATCATCAGCTTCATCCAGTGGTTGTACTGCAGAATTTTACTGATTGAGATATGTCAGGAAAATACTCCATTATGGCCACTAGAGTGAGCCAATGATTATAAAAAATAAACATATTAGACACATTATGGGTGTTATTCAGTGTTTACAAAGCAATTTTTTTTATGACTAGACCCTAATAACATGGCAATATGTTTTACATACACTATATGGCCAAACATTTATGGAAACCTCACCATCACTTCTATATGAGCTTGTTGGATATCTCATTCCCAAACCACAAGCTTTAATATGGAATTGGTCTCTCTTTGTAGCAACAACGGCCTTTACTCTTCTGTAAAGGCTTTTCACAAGATTTTGGAGTGGGTTTGTTTCTATTCATCCAAAAAGAGCATTTGTGACATGAGGTACTGATGTTGGACATGGGATGGCTCACAATCGATGTTCCAATTCATACAATTGATATTTATTAGGGCTCCTCATCCCAGAAACACCGTGTCTTAAGGTCCAAAATTGTTTAATTAATTTTCTTAAAGCTTTAGTGGTGTGGAGCCCTGGTACTCAAAACTCAACCACTCAATAACCAACTGGGGTACAGTCTCCATAGACCTCAACGCTTTTATATAAAAAAAAAGAAACAAAAGAGTAAGATCATTTTCATGCAGCAACCCTATTCAGCAAAACTGGTCAGTCTAGGGCTGTTTTCTTGACCCCTTTGAACCCGCTCTCCAATGCACTTAAAACCTCCTTTCATGGACTGGTTGACTATACACTAAGTACATTAAACGAATGTCCTATTTTTTACTTTTGTTAGAAAACACCACATAGGGCCATAAGAGGTGGGACACTGCCCCCCCCCCCCCCTGTGCTATGGATGTGACCCCAAATTTTAATTTTATTTCTAACTAGCCGTGGGATACTGTCACATATTTCCATCAAATGTCATTACTTTGGGACCTGGAGACCATTTAAAGGTTCTTAGCTGTTGACATGTCTATTTTAAATTTTCCATCTATATACAGTAGACTCTTATAAAGGGGATGTTTGTTTGGTGTCTTGGAAATATACAAGGTAAGATGCCTATGTCAGTAGACAATTATACATCATCACTATGGTTACTTTGAAGAAGGACTGTTCCCACTGGGAAGTGTGTTAACTACTCAGCCATTATTAGAGGACTCATCTTCGGTAGATACTGGTTACAGCTCAAACAAATGGCAACTGCCCCAAACTATAACTGGCCTTTGCAGCAAGGAACTGTCAGGGTTGCGGGTGTGACCAGAAGTGTGTGGACTGACACAGAGAAACGTAGGCTTCAGATATGGTATAAATAAGACAATTTATTAAGACTAACAATACAAATATAAACGCAGTGCTCCAAACCCCAAGCTAAAACAAATACATACAACAAGGTGAAACAAACCCAAACCTAAACTGGTATAGATACACAGGTACATACACATATAGAGCACAACGTAGTCAGGCAGGCCGGGTCGATAACTATCGGGCAGGTAGGTACAGGAGGAGCAGGTGGAGAGTAGTCAGGTCACGAGCCGGGTACAGCAACTAACGGACAGGTAGGTACAGGGGGTCAGGCAGAGAATGGTCAGGGTCACAAGCCAGGGATCAAACAGGAGAAGTCAGCAGAGGTCAGGATCAGGCAGGGTCGGCAACAAGTCAGGCAGAAACAGGAACAGGAATGCAGGTTACAAGATACAGGGGCCCATGGAAAAACACACACCAAGGCACCGACTGCAGGTCTGGCCATCCCTTAAATACACCACCTGCAATCAGCCCCAGGTGATGGCTAATTGCCAAAGTGAACCTCTGGTTGTTGAGAGCACCCGCTGGCCACCTGGTACTGCAGCCCACAAGGCATCGTGAGTCCCACCACTATTGGCAAGTCCATTCCTGACAGGAACACATGGAAGGGTGACACATGTCAAACAATGATAGAGAAAAATTCCCAGCTCAACTTACCAACCAGCCTGCAACCAACCAAATCCTATCCTGTCTAGCAGTTCACATTAAAAACAGGGGTTTAGTTTGCACACATTTGCAAATACATGCGTAAGCTACAGAGCCTCTTCACAGCACCCCAATATTCTGCAGTTTCTAACTCTATAAATTTCGAGAGCCTCCATAGTAGAAGCACATGTATAATAATGGATAGAGTGAGGGCAGCTGTAAGCCTGGTTGGTAAGCTGAGCTGGGAATTTCTCTCTGTTGTTGTTTGACATGCATCGCCGTTCCATGTGCTCCTTGTTTCAAAGTCAAGTTATAGATTGGGGCAGTTGCCATTTGTTTGTACTGTTGATATACTGTTGAGTGGTTCACTTGACACTTTGGCTGCCATTGTGCTATATGCTGGGTGTCCAGTGCGCCCCTTTGACAGTGGGCTTCCTCCATGTTTACCTGCCCTCGGTCTATCCATTATTATGCATGTGCTTCTACTATGGAGGCTCTCAACATTTATAGAGTTAGGAACTGCTGAATATTGGGGTGCCATGAACAGGCTCTGCAGCTTACGCATGTTTTTGCAAATGTGGGTAAACTAAACCCCTGTTTTTAACGTGAACTGTTAGACAGGACAATTCGGTTGGTTGCAGGCTGGTTGGTGAGTTGAGCTGGGAATTTTACTCTATTGTTATTTGAGATACTGGTTACAGGTTTGGTATGCCTGCCGTGTTTCTTAGGTTCAGATTACTGGGACCTTTTTCATGGAGTGTTGACCAACTGTTAGTTTCTTTGACCAGTTATTTATAACTGACCAGACTGGGTCTAATCTTCATTTGTTCCTTGTTGGTCAATGTTTAAAATACGGCCTTTATATGTGTAGGTTGCAACCTCATCCCTTTAAAACAGAACGCACATTAATTACACAGGTTCTGTGACTGATTGAGGTGAGAATTAAACTCATTTAGTGCCTTATTTGCATTAAATTTGTGTAATTAATATGTGTTCATTTTAAAAGGATGAGGTGGGAACCCTATATGTGGATTTCATCAACAAACTTACTGTTTATTTAGTGTACTGGTTGAACACTCATTGGATCTATATGAAGCATGCCTGCAGCAATATCTTATGAACAATAACACTCTGTAGCGGATCCCTTATCTTTCACCCTTGAATCCTCAGGTATGTTTCTGAAGGAAACACACACAGCCTGAGAGATCATCCATGAGATATCCCTCCTCACAATTCATATATTGTTACCTATGGGAAGTTACATAGTTACATAGTTAGTCTGGCTGAAAAAAGACAAAAGTCCATCCATTTGTTTTTCCATCCATGGAAAAACAAAAAAAAGTTATAATCCTATAACCACAGTTGATCCAGAGGACGGCAAAAAAAACCCCCAGAAAAGCACGATCCAATTTGCTCCTGCTGGGAAACAAAATTCCTTCCTGATTCACCGAGAGGCAATCGGATATTCCCTGGATCAAAATGGGAAGCTGTTCTAAGTCTGAACTTTGAAAATATTGTTTTTTTTGACTGTCAGGTATAGGTCTGTTGTAGAAAATATGTTCCTTCACCTTTGAGACCTGGTCCATAATCATTTTAATATTTTGACCATGGATTTTTAGATTTCAGATGTGCATTTGTACATATTATGAAAGGCAACTTCACTTTTTTGTTTTTGTATATATAATTATTGTGGTCTGTTAAACCTATACCCCAGGTGGCTATTGAATGGTTCAAATGAGTTCCTCCAAACCAAACTCATTAAACTATGTGTTTATGGACCTGGCTAAATGCACAGATGCAAAGTCATGCTGCAACAGAAAGGGGGCTTTACCAAAGTTCACCAAAAAGGGCCTTTCAATACCAAAAGGTTGGAAAAGCACTACTGTCTAGAGCAGTAGTCTCCAAACTGCGGCCCGGGGGGCCAGATGTGCCCCTTTGCCTACTTTTATCTGGCCCTTGGGGCACTATTTTTTTCCATCGATACCAACAATGTGGCATAATTCCCCCCACTGACACCATTAAAGGGGCAGAATAACTCCCAATAACAGGTCACAATTCCTCCCAATGATGTGGCATAATTCCTCCCAATGAAACCAACAATGGGGCCCAATGACAGTAACGAGGAGTGCTATTCCTCCCAGTGATACCATAGATATGGCATTGTTTGTTCCACGGAAGTCAGGACCCTTTCTACTCCCAAGAGTCTGGCCCCTCTTAGGTCTGAAAAAAAGTAAACTGGCCCTTTGTTTAGAAAGCTTGGAGACCCCTGGTCTAAAGTGTCCATATATGTTGTAGCATTAACAGAACTGTTTACTGGAAACATCTGAACTCATCAATTTGGAAGAATTTGGCATAGCGTGTAGTAGTTTACATATG